AAATTTAGCTGTTTATAGAAAGTCTTTGAAAAGTAAACAAATAACTTATTCCGGCAACAAATTTCTTTTTGCAGAGCCGAGATAAATTCCCTAAAATAGAACTCAATTTTTATGTAACCTAGGCAAAAAATAAAATCGTAGGTACCAACAATAACCTTTTCTTCATTATCACATTTTATTTCTTTTGTTTTCTTCATGTCGGCAGAAATTTCGTATAATTTGCCTGGTAGGGGCTAATAACCATCCTAGTATCGTCCATAAAAATAGCTTGTGTCATAACTCAGAATTGGTAATTTTTGATATAATTAAAATAATTTTACTCTAAAAGAATAAGAGATTCAATCTGTTCATCGAAATAAAAACTTCATAGAAATTCCTTCAACATCTGTATAAGAGTCTTATGAGAGTTTCTTAGTCTCAATCATTCTATATTCGTTATAAATATAAAAATTTCTAATATTTATATAACAATAAAAGTTATTATTTGATCAACTACATTTTTTATGGGCGATACTGAATAGTTGACCGAAATCACTACAGTTTTTTAATCATTTCTGATACTTAAATTAATAAAATTTCTTGCTAGAGGGATGGTTTCGTGCCGGTTCTAATCCAATATATTATCTTATGGGAGTCGATTCTGCAGTATTTTGTGATAATGCTGTAAGTTATGTTTAACTTACTATTTATTAATTTGTACATTTGATGTTAACACCATTTTTTTTTCTTTAACTAGCCCGGAAAAAGTGGATTTATAAAATTTGATCCATTATTTGAAGGGAAATTAACGTCTGGTGTTTTCGGTACTCTTATGCAAAATTTTATACCTCAAGAGTTTTTAGGCAAACGAGTTCAACTAATATGCTTAATAAAATACGTCGTAAGAATTTAATGATCATTTTGAATACATAATTTCATTTAATTTATTTATTTACTTATTTATTTTAGGATGTCAAGACCGACCTCTTAAAGGTATTTTACTTGGCTTATTGTCTCAATCAACCGGTTTTAATGACAATATTTATAGGTACTGGTGATTGGAAAAAGTGTGAATGTGTTTTAGATGTTGATCAAGACGCAGTCAATCTTGCTTTTGGTGTTTTAGTATCAGGTGAGTAATATTTTCTATTAATCCACTTTATTGTACAATTTTTATAATCACCAAATTTTTGTTCCCCAACCTGGTGATTATAATGAGGTCAACTGTAGTTTGAATTTTAAATATTAACATTTAAATAAAAAAAAAACTTGATATAATAAAAACAATACAGATAAATAAATAAAAAAAAGATTAGTGAATTTATTTGTTAGTTATATAATCTTTATCGAAACTTAATAAACTTTTAAACATCTATTATTAATTACAGTAAAAATGTTAAAAATCTTTTTAAAAATTTATACAATGATGTTTTTTACAAATTTAGTTATACTTATTTATACAAGTAATAAAAGTTTTTTTTATCATAAAAAATGAAGCTACAAAAAAATTTTTTTAATAATTTCAAGTGACTAACACGAATTTTTATTAAGTTGAGATGTTCACGCGGTTTTGCATAGAAACCAGAGACGGTTAAGTTTTATATCTAGCAGTTTTTTTGAATTTTTTTTTTTTTTGTATTTATTTTATTTTATTTTTTTTAGTTTATTTTTTATTTATTTTTTTGAAGTTTATTATTTTTGCAATTTATTTTATTCTTTTTTTTTTGAAATCACACTTATAAATTTTTTTTTAAAAAAACTTCTCACAAAGATTTCTCAATAACCAAATCAATAAAATTTTTACTAAACATGATTAAGTAGTTATTAAGAAATATTTGCTAGAATTTTAAAATTATTAAAAGAACCTTCAATTTTGCTTCCCTTTTGGAAGCTAGCATTACTGGCACAAATTTTTTTTAAACAAGAATGTATTAGAGCACTTCAACTTAATGCTACAAATACTAGAATGTGATCAAGTGGATTCCTTTTGATATATTAGATAATATCCAAAGGATTGATTTATAAATATTCATCGATCTGGTTGGATGCGTACTATATGTAAACAAATATGAAAATTATGAGATAACCCTTTATTTAGTAAATACAAACAGTTATGCTAGAAAATCATATTCTATTTCAGAAAAATTAAAAGATAACTTTAATTTTCAACATTCTGTTCTTGCTTTACTATTTTAAAACCAAATCAATTTATTAAAAATATTAATTTTTAACAAAAAAAAAATCAACTTTCTAATTTAGCAAATTTAAAAATAAGCTTGACATTTTACTGCGGAATTCTATTGCACTAAATCGGCTTACTAAAATATTCCGAAAATTTTTTCGTATCTAATAGCTTACTAGTATATATATCTTGTGAATGTACTTGTTTAATTTGTTCGGGTTTAATCTTATTAGCTTCCAAAAATTGTTTTTTGATTTCATTATCATTTTCCTGATCCATTTCATCTAACCAACGAGTGATTGTTTCAATAATTTCTGTTGCAATAGGTCGTTTATCAGGTTCTTTATCCATACATTTCATTGCTAATTTAATATAACAACCGGGTCCTAAACATTTAGGTCTTGATCCATCGATAATTTTTGATACAAGATTACCATTAAACGGAATTCCATCAATTGCTCTTTGTCCGGTCGAAATTTCTGTCATGATAACTCCAAGACTGTAAATATCTGATGCTTGAGTGTACGGTTGACCTACCAAAATCTCAGGTGCAATATATGGCAGAACTCCGCAAATTTTTCCGTCCTTTTCTTTTCTAGAAAGTCCAAGATCTGTGATATATGCACTATGCAGAGTACGATATTGCAAAATGTTTCCACTGTGTAAATTTCTGTGAACAAGTTCTTGTGAATGAATTGAATAGAGATCCAAAGCTATACAGTGCAAGATACTCAATTTATCTTTCCATTCCAACTGTGATACTTGTACAAGATTATGTCGTAACGAACCTTCTGTTGCATAATTCAAGACAATAATATAGTCACCGTGATTATTTCTTGATACTCCATAACATTCCAAGAATGAAGGATTCTCGTAACCAATTTCACAGTGATTTTTTAATTCCTGAATAAATTCTTGCACATTTTTGTTTGAATCATGAATCACTTTAAACGCAACATTATTCCATACATTATTAATTTTATCGAGCCAACGTGCATAATATACAGTTGCAAATCCTCCTTTTCCCTTTTCTATGATATCACTGAATTCATTATAATCAATCCAAGATAACTTAAATCTTTCATCATTTAATATTCTCTTAAGTTCAGGATTGATATAATCAGGTGATTTATTAGTTTTCAAAAGACTTCTATATTTTTTGAACCAATA